CTTTCCCTATGACCCCTACCCTTATATAAAAGTAGGTGTGGCTTTTATAGAAGCTCATAACCAAGCAAACAGATTAAAGACATCTTAATTTAAGGGAGTGGGGGGGATAAACAAACTTTTATTTGTCTCAGACATAGCAACTTTTCCCCACCTTTTAAAAACTCCCCTTAGCAAAACATAGCATCTAATTTAGTCAGTCCACAAAAACAATCACAAAGTCTATTTCATTTATTAAAACCTGCTAACACAAATGCAGGTACACAGACTGCAATAATGGATCCCAGTGAAGGATCCGCATTTAAAGTACGAGTGAAATTTTCAGAGTTTCCGGCTGACTCCCTGTTGCAAAGCTTCAAAATGGGAAGAAAACACCAAGGAAAAGCAATAGCTTGCTCACTTGCCATCCCACAAAATAAACGGATGCATTTCAATCTGTTTACGTAAGACATTAGACAACAGTCTTCTCTGGGCTACAGGGCACTGTAGCTTATCCCCAGAGTAAACAATCCATAGCAACATTAAAAAGAGAAACTCTTAAAAGACCTCACAGAATTTCGTATTACTTTTACCTGATATACTCCTGTCTCAGCATAAGACTGGCATGTTTAATATCCTGGGACACAAAACCTTGTCATAAAGGGTGTTACTCTGGCAGCAAGCACCAGGGAGCACTGCTTGGTCTCGCCCTAGGTTCACCCATGGTCTTACCTCTCCATGACTTCAACTCATCAGCCAAAATAGGTGCAGGAAGGAACAAGAACTTAGTACAACTGAAATTTTAAGCCGTAGGTGGGTTTTCTTATCCCTCCAACCCACATAGACAGAAGAAAGTCAGCACCCATCTTTCTCGGTTGTTGGGTTTTTTTAAATTAAAAAAATGGTACTGTCATAGCCTCTAGAGGCTCTCCCATGGATAGCTCAGCTGATACCACCCAATTCAGCTCACATACCTATTGGTATTTTTACTTACACTTGAATTGCACAAGATTAATAAATTAAAATTTGTTTGTACAATCATACAGATAAGCAAAACCCCCGATACACTCACAAGTTTAACATCCTTGAATGTTTTACCTCAGTTCTGCATTACATAACTGTAGAGAGCTATAATGATTTGAACTCTATTAGAAACACTAGAGTGCTTGGATCTGTATCCTCCACTGGCTCTTTTGCTGCATGATCTGCTGGAAATAAGAAAACTTTATTACTGCATAATCCTCAAAATAGTTCTGCCTGGCAATTCATATTTTGCTTCTGTCTGACCAAGACAAAGCACAACTGTGCAGCCATTACATGCATTATGTCAAATTACATTTCCACAAGAAAACATGACAAACTAGAAAACATCAGACCTACTAGCACACAGATGAGAAACTACATGGAACAAGGAAATCCAACTCTAAGCTAACAAAAGACAGACTTAAATGAAAATTCTAAATTATTTTTAGTTAAAAAAAGAAAATCACAAAACAATTCAGCAATATCAGCAATAAAGAATAAAATCCAGTAAATCTGCTAAAAGCTAAGTTTTGTTCTCCGAGTGGCAGCACTGTTTTTTCTTTAGAGCAATAATTCAAACAGTAAACATACCCACTAAAACAAAAATTAATACTATAATAAACAGCAGACTGTAGTACAAAACCTAATAAAAAAAAATATGAGGTAAACATTAATTATTTGTGTACAATAGAATCATAAACTTCAATTATATTAGCATCAAAAAGATACAAAAATAAATCTTCAAAGCACTTGCAGGCGAATCATTAAATGTCAACCCCGCTGCACCGATGGCTAAATTGACAAATAACAGTGGGGTACTAACCAAAAGTGCACAGAGAACCTGAAACAAATCTCATACAGAAGTCAGGATTCACAACGCCACTCCTGTAATTTAACATCGTCATGCCATTTCCTCAAGGAATCTCTTCTGTTGATAAGTATCAAGTTTTCAGAAACTGAAGAGCATTTTAAATTATGTAGTAGGATTTTCACTCCATTCTTGTCACTCTCATTCTAAAAGTCCTTATACTTACTACAAGAACACATTAAATGCTTTCAAGCGCAACCAGAAAGAGGTGGCTGGAATCAATATTTGGTGATTACCTTCTCCCAAATATAGAAAATTTTGAACACAGCTTAGTCCCAGAAATGAATTACAAAATGCCCGGTATAAACATGGAGCCACAAAATATCACAGAAGTTACATAGGCACTATTCTAACCAACTCAAATTTAGCATAATTGTTTATTTTGGGGCCTGCTCCTACAAATCTACTCAACGCAACAGAACAACCTAAAGCATAAGACAACACAAGACAGCGCAATAAACAGGCCGGAAAATAAAAAAGGTGGCAGCAGCAGGACAGAAGCAGCGCCAGGGCTCCAGGACCAAGCTGTCCTCCCTCCTGCTTCTGTGAGGCAGCCCCACCAGCAGCGGTTCCTGGGTGTCCGGCACGGAGCCCAGCCCCTCTCCGCAACGCCAGGAAGAGCCTTCCCCAGTGCTGGTGCCCACAGGAAGACCACGCGCGTTCCCCAGGCAGGTGGCACACGATCCGAGGGGTCAGATCTACGAGGCTTGAGCACAGCGTTTGCACGCAGACACGCTGAACATCTTACACGGGCAAGATGTCTTTGAAATTTCAGATGAGCATGTTCACACTGCAGTGCAAGTGTAAAGTTTAGGAAGTTTAGGAAGACATACACAGAAGAGGAAAAAAAAACCCCAAATGAAAACCTCATAATCTTGTCACACACGCCCTTTTTGGTAAATATTAAGTCCCTGCTCCAGAAACATGGTATTAACAGAACATTCTGGATAAAGCCTGCCCTGATGGCAAGGGCCAGCACAGACTGCCATAAGCTTCCCAACTCAAATGCAGAGAGGGTGGGCGTCAGACTGGGATATGAGGAAATACAATAAGCTGGCGCAAGACCTTGTGCGAGAGTAGGGCCAAAAATGGAGGATCCAAGTGGGAACTGTAGCGGAGAGCTGCGAAAAAAATGGGAAGGAAGCTGGGGCAAAGAGAGAAGCCCACCCTGTAAAGGAAAGCTGAAAAAGGAGGAGGTACTGGGGGCCAAAGAAAGGCTCCAGGGAAGAAGGCCAGCCCAGGCATCCCCAGTCTTGCTGTTTCTCCACTGTCAGCAAAGACCCAACAAAGCCAGTGGCAAAGCATGCAATTTATCGTCAGTTTATTCTGGAGGTCTTACAGGTCCTCCTTATGGATTCGTGGCTGGGTTTAAAAAAAAAAAAATAAAAAAAAATAAAAACCTTTCTTTTGCCTTTGTAATCTAAGAACAACCTTAAGATAGATGAAAACAGACCCCACAAACAGTCCATGCCCTGGTGAACCTTGGTGGCTACTGTAGCTATGGTAAGGGCTTCATTCCCTGTCTTCTGTAACATCTCCAAGATATGGCCAAGGTACATTGCGACACTGGTAATTATTTACTTTCCACAATCCAGAGGGAAGCACTAAAAAAAATGGGAGAAGCTCCAAGAATATAGGCATCTGAAGTAAGGATTTGACAGACCCCAGGGTGACCCTACAAGAGGGGATGGGGTACAGGGTGGTACCTTTAATTGACTCCTGCTTTCTAGGTCTCACACAGAAACACAGTCACCATGAATCTGTGACTCTTCATCTTTCTTGCTTAGTATCCATCCTGAAAAATATTTTAAAACTGTATTTCTGTCCCTATACCTCATTTTCTTGCCTTTTGTTTTTTCTGGCTCTTTATGAAGAACAGCAGTTTCCATGTTTTTTAGGTTGTGGAGCACTACCAAGTCCCAACATTTTCTGTAAGTGGCATGTATGTGTATAAATATTTGTACCTAAGAATAAACGCTCCACATACTGGCTGCAGATGATTCACCATGGTCTTGTTGATCACTGATAGTTGGCAGATAATTTGAGAACCGCAGACTTAATATTTAATTGTGAATAAGGCAATTAAAATGCCATGTCCCCTCTCTCTTTCCCACACGTACCTCCCACAGCATTCAGCAGCTCATCTCCTACAGCTGGATGCAGGTGCACAAAACAGCAGGGAGGAAAGTTCTCTGTTTATCTCAAATGTGAAACATCCACAGCTTTGCATGTTGAAAGGCCAACAGGTGCAGACCGTCTGATTTCACAGTTACTTTGACAGACAGCTTGATGACAACATTATCTGGGACCCCTCAAAAAAATCCCTATCACCACACTCCCCACTGACAGCATACAGCCAGTGGCCTGCATTGATTTCCCCACACTTCTGCCAGGAACCACACGTGAATTGACTGAGATGGACGTAAATCAGCACGTGCGAATTGACTCGGACAGACATAAGTCAGGTTCAATGGTCGCTCCCAAGGTTCTTTTCTGCCGCCCAGCACCTGCACACTGACCACTCAGCGGCTGCCATGGCTCTTCTGCCTGAGCCTGTCCAGTATAACCAGTCTGC